AGAGAGAGAGAGAGAGAGAGAGGGAGAGAGAGAGAGAAAGATAGGAGGAAGATAAAATGAACCTAGAGACAGACGCGGGGAGACACACGCACACAAAAAAAATGTGGTGCTGGGCCCATATTCTTAACAGACAGAAAAAAGACGATGAGTAACGAGCGCTCGCAGAAACATTATACATCACAAGTATTCCTCGCGCTCTGCCCTCCTCCGAATGCGCCGTCGACGTCTCCTTCGGCCGACAGAACCCGACAGCCGATTTCACACGCCCCGGCTCTCTCTCTCGGGGCTGTTGTCTGTTTTGGTGGATATTCAGATCTGACGGAGGCGAGCTTTCATAACTCATGTGGATTTATTTCATGTGCAAATGTAATTATGTAAACACCGAAGCTGTTTATCACGGGAGGTCCAATATAAATAACTTTTATAAATTGATTTGAACTGCGGCGCCGATGTAACGAGGGAAAACAAAATTACCATGTAGTATTTGCAATTTTCTATGCAACGTTTGGAGTTTATTGTACAGTATATCATTTTATTTGATACATTTCGACTATAAATCTTCAGGTGACGTGGGATTTCCATGATGCACGTATACTTTAAAGTTTGCAAATTGCAGAGTAAATAATAATTATGGAAAAGGTAATAAGGATGGGGAGAGTAAGCTTTATGATAACAAAAACAGTAGCAGTTATTGTTGTTATAGTAATAGTAGAAGGCATGGTAGTGATAGTAATGGCAGAAGTAGTGGTAGTAATAGTAATAATAGAAATAGTAGTAGTAGTAATGGAAGTCACTGTAGATGGTGATAGGAGTGATAGTAGGAACAGTCGTAACAGAAGTAGTGATAAGATAAATACTGATAGTAGTAGTGTTAGCAGTGACAGAAAAAGAAGAGAAGTAGTGGTAATTATTTCAATGGTTTACTCTAATAAATGCATTAGAGATCGTGGTTATAATAATAATATTGTGATGTTGATAATAATAACGATAATAAATTATGAAAAAGGGGGGGGGGAGAAAGAGAGAGAGAGAGAGAGAGAGAGAGAGAGAGAGAGAGAGAGAGAGAGAGAGAGAGAGAGAGAGAGAGAGAGAGAGAGAGAGAGAGAGAGAGAGAGAGAGAGAAAGAAAGAAAGAAACAGACAGACATATAGAAAACAAGAAATACATAATCAACATTGCACATCAACATCAAAATCGCATTTTTTATATCAGCACATCCATCATCTACGGAAGAAAGCAGGGATTCCTCGGGTTAAATTCCTTCAAAAGAATATTCTGATTTAAAACCTCTGTTGCATGAAGACGCCCTTGCAGAGCATTGCAAGCCAGTTCCTCCGGGCGCGAACACAAACCACACGGATTTCTGTCGCGAAAATAGATGTTCGTCGAATAGGGTTTGATGAACGCCCAGGCAGGGTGTGGCTGCGTCCGAGGTGATCTGTGTTCGTATCGTAGAGAGAAAAAATGTTTTGTGTTCATTCCAGAGAAAAAAATGTATATTTTTCGCATTTCATATCAAAGAGAGGTTTTAAAAAATCGGCCAGAGAGAAATATTAAATAATACTTTTCGTTCCATACCAAAGAGAAAAAAAATGTTTCGGTCAGAAAGAGAGAGAGAGAGAGAGAGAGAGAGAGAGAGAGAGAGAGAGAGAGAGAGAGAGAGAGAGAGAGAGAGAGAGAGAGAGAGAGAGAGAAAGAGAGAGAGGGAGAGAGAGAGAGAGAGAGAGAGAGAGAGAGAGAGAGAGAGAGAGAGAGAGAGAGAGAGAGAGAGAGAGAGAGAGAGAGAGAGAGAGATTTTGTGTTTATATTGGGAAAAAATACGCTCCATGCCAGAGAGGAAAAAAAATGTTTTAGTACTTTGTGTTCATATCTGATAGCGAAAAATATGATATGAATATGAACACATATTCATATCATATCAGAAAGTTTAAAAATTATGTTTATACCGGAGGAAAAAAAGAAACGTGTTCATGTCAGTCGCAGTAGCAGAGAAGAAATATTTTGTGTTCTGATCAGAGAGAGAAAAATCAATATTTTGTGTTCATAGGAGAGAAAGAGGAAAATAATATTTTGCGTTTATACATAGACAGAGGAAGAGAAACTATGTGTTCATATCAGAGAGAGAAAATATATATATTGTTCATACTGTAGAATAAATAAAAATATTTTGTCTTAACAGCTAAAAGAGTGAAAAAAAAATCCTGTTTCGGAAAGTAAGGGGAGGGGAGGGGAGGGGGGTGGGGTAAGAAGAGGGAGAGGAGGAAGGGGGGGTTGTTCTGTAGAGGGAGTTAATTCCTCGTGAAGGTTAACGATATTCTCTTCCTTTATCTTCATTTTTGCCTTACTTGTTCATTCTCTGTTCCTCGCCCTTCCTTCCATCCTCGTTATCTTCACGTATGTCTCTTTCTTCCCTCGCCCTCTCTCTCCTTCCAAGACGGAGACTCTCTCGTTTACCCTTTCCTCTCACAATTTCCTCTCCCCGCCTGCCGTGACCCGAATTCTATTTGGATTCTATATATGACTTTGGCCGGTTTGCAATAACACTCAAATCGCGTCAGGGCGAAGTGATGGTCCGAACCGAGGTCAAAGGCCACACGAGGCACACTGGACATGAACCTGGTTTGTTTTTTTAACTATTCATCTGACATTTTTATTTATTTTTCTTGTTCAAAGCCATCTGCTCCGTCTTTTCATGTCTCGATCAGCTTATATTCTGATTTATTCGCGTATGTCCATTTTTTTTTTCATTTTTTCTAGCTTCTATCCATCTGTTTGTCTTTGTAACTGTCTGTCTGTCTGAAGCATAATTTATTTAGCTTTGCATTAATTCATGTATGTTTGAGCTGTCTATAAATCTGTTTTTACTTTAAATCTTTATCTATATTTTTGGTCTGTCTATCTATCTGCCTACATCTACCGTTACCAATTCCAGAATTTAAAATGGGCAACTGATATCACTGCTTGGCCATTATTATATAAAAACATGAGTATTATATCTCAGGCAAAGATACTGAATAACTTACAAGGCGTCAATGATTAAGCGAAAGGGTAACATTCGACGACCGCATCTGACGCATTCGACACTCCACATTCCTCCCACTCAACTACGCACCACAACCCCACTTCCCCCCACCCTTTCCACCAACAACCACCTCACCCTCCCATCCACATTTCCGCCTCCACTTTCCTCAGCTTTCCCTCCCCCACTCCACATTCCTCCCACTCCACTACGCACCACAACCCCACTTCCCCCCACCCTTTCCACCAACAACCACCTCACCCTCCCATCCACATTCCCGCCTCCACTTCCCTCAGCTTTCCCCCTCCCCCCGACTCCACATTCCTCCCACCCAACTACGCACCACAACCCACCCTTTCCACCAACAACCACCTCACCCTCCCCTCCACATTCCCGCCTCCACTTCCCTCAACCTTCCCCCTCCCCCCCACTCCACATTCCTCCCACCCAACTACGCACCACAAACCCCACTTCCACCTACCCTTTCCACCAACAACCACCTCACCCTCCCATCCACATTCCCGCCTCCACTTCCCTCAGCTTTCCTTACCCCCCACTCCACATTCCTCCCACCCAACTACGCACCACAAACCCCACTTCCACCCACCCTTTCCACCAACAACCACCTCACCCACCTTCCATCCCCACTTCCGCCTCCACAAAACCGCCTGATATCCATGTTTGCATCTCGATTCCTCCTCACAATAACCATGTGATTCTCTCCCCAAAGGTCACGTCTATTTCTGGTCCAAGATCCTCATATCCTGCCTTTTGAATCTAAGACTCGCCTAGGTCCCTTGGGCGTTGGCTTGTGATTATTATCTTTATTATCGTCGTTGGAATTATCATTAGTGTTGTTGCTGTTGTTGATGCTATTTTTATTGATATCGTTGTTATCATTTGCGTTGCTGTTGTTGTTTATGCTGCTATTATTATTATTGTTATTGTTATTATTATTATTATTATTACTATTATTATTATTATTATTATCATTATTATTATTACTGTGATTATTGTTATTATTATTATTATTATCATATCATTATTAATATTATTATTATCCTTATTGTTATTATCATTATTATTATTATTATTATTATTATTACTATTATTATTATTATTATCATTATTATTATTATTATCCTTATTATTATCCTTATTATTATTATTGCAATAATAATGATAATAATAATAATTATCATTATAATTATTATTATTTTTATTATTATTATTATTATTATTATTATTATTATTATTATTATCATAATTATTATCATTATTATTATTATTATTATTATTATTATCATTATTATTATTATTATCATTATTGTAATAATAATAATGATAATAATAATAATGATAATTATTATTATTATTATTGTTATTATCATTATTATTATTGCAATAATAATGATGATAATAATGATAATAATAAAGATAATGACAATACTAATACTAATAATAATAATGATAATAATAATAATTATTATTATTGTTATTATGATTATCATTATTATTAATAATGATAATGATAATAAAAATAATAATAATAATAATAATAATAATAATTATTATTATTATTATTATTATTACTATTAGTAGTAGTAGTAGCAGTAGTAGTAGTATTCTTACTATTGTTATCGACATTATTATTATTACCATTTTCATTGTTATCATTATCATCACCACCATTATCATCATTACCATTTTATCATGATTATGAATACGATTCTGGTGGTTATTGTTGATATTGTCTATCATCTCCGTGATCATCATCATTACCAACCCAAATCATTATCATCATTTCATTGAATCATCAATGTACATAATAATGACCATCTGCGATTTCGATTTCTTTTTTTTTTAAGATAACCGCGGGTATTTATCTTCTTCTCGAAATGTTTAGTAGAAAGTGAGTAAATGAGGAGAACATATGGCATTATTACTATAAAGATACTCATAAGTGTACATTTTATTCCAGGGTTTCATCTAACAGGAAAGTTTCGGTCATTTCACAAATATATGAATGAAATAGATATCTTGATAATGGACATTCGGAGGGATTATCTTGGGTAAATCTGGATACCAAATAGAGAAAAGTAATCTGACATGACAAAGGGGATTCGCTCTGCGTCGCGATGGAAAATAAACCGGCCAGCCGAGTTCTGAAATGAAAAAAGAGCCTCAGAAAATGACAATGGCTGCGCGGTCAACAGACAGGTTAACTGCTTGAAGCGGAGCCCCGCCCACCTTGTCATGCTTGCGAGCACGACGCGAGCATAAGAGAGCCTCGTGAGACGCGTCAGCATGTCCATGTCGCGCTCCAAGTCGCTGCCCGGCGCCAACGGCGACGGCTGGGACGGCGACGACTCCGGCCTGTCTCGCTCCGGGAACTCGGGCGGCGGCCGCGACTCCGGCGTGGTGGTGGTCGCCTCCGACACGCCGTCCTTCGCCTCCGACGCGCGCTCGTCGCTGCTGGGCGACCTGCCGTCGGGCGCGGCCTGCTCGGAGCTGCCGTCCGAGGAGGCGGAGAACGAGAAGCAGGGCACCGAGGACCCCGACAAGAAGGCCACCATCGGCCGCCACTACTACCCCGAGGGCGGCTGGGGCTGGGTGGTGCTGGTGATGGCGCTGCTCGTGCACGTGATCTCGCACGGCGTGCACCAGGCCACGGGCGTGCTCATCCTGCACCTCGTCAAGGAGTTCCCCGAAGCCACGCTCATGTCCGCAA